CCCCGCCCCCCCCCCCCCCCCGCCCCCCAGCCAGTACAGCCTGGTGGAGAGCCAGGCGGCCTCACGGCGGGGCAGCTGGGACAGCCTGCAGGACCCCAACGACAGGCTGGACAGCATCTCCGTCGGCAGCTACTTGGACACGTTAGCCGATGACATGGATGAGTATTCCCAAAACGCCGCTGAAACCACCGCCGCAGCCGTGCCGGGCAGAGCCCCACTCAGAGCGGAGCAGGATTGGGTCAGGATTGACTCCGAGAGGGGTCTTGCAAAGCAAGAGAAGGGCAAAGCAGAGCACGAGTGGCCCCATGTGGACCTCTCCCCGCCGGGACTGCCCCCGGATCACCACTTTGCTAAGGAGCCCCAGGTGGCCAACGGGTATTTGGGCCAGCAGCCCTCCTCTCTGGAACCAGGCAGAGACCCCAAATTGCTGCCAGGGGCTGGGGAGAGGCTGGGGAAGGGGAACGCGGGTGGGAAGGCTCGGAAAGCTGAGGCTGACTTTGAGAACTGCAAACTCAACAGCAAACTGCACCTGGAGTACGATGCCCACTGGCGCTGGCTCCAGTCTCAGGACGATGTGACATTCTTGTAGCCAGTGGCTTTGCTTTCCCAGTCCAGCTCTCCCATTTGCCTGCTCCGCTTCACTTGTCTCTGCTTGGGAGAGTTGGGGTGGCTGGGGAGGGGACACGTGCTGGCTTGGTGGTGGTACACTAGTCCTCTGACCCCCCTGCCAGTGTTCGGTGATGCAACCCTAAGGGATAAGGCACCCGCCCTGCGGTGAATTTCTGGGAGAGGTGGGATGAGGTGGGTCCCCGTAAATGTAATCCTTTGCTCTGGGGTGGTGCTTGCAGGTAGCTGGTCCTTGATGGTGGTGGTGGGGAAGGGTTGGTGGGAAACCTGGGACAGCAGGAGTCCTGGGACCTCTCCCCTCTAATCCTCAGCCTCCCGCCTGTGAAAACTGGGGACCCTTCCCCAAACCAGCTACCCAGGGAGGACAGGAGATCCTCCCACAGGTCCACAGCTCGGTGGCACCTGCGTGCGATGTGTGAGGTGCAGGGCAGGACCGTCAGCAGGGGCAGGACCGTCAGCAGGACATCCCTGTCAGATATGCTCATTGCCATCATCGTCTTCAAGGCCAGTGTCCATCCAGGGTAGAGTTGACCTGGGACACCTGGGGTTTGGCCGCAGCACATGGTGGATGCTAAAACCCGCTTCCCAGGAGGTGAAGCCCTGCCTGGTTCCAGCATCTCTGCAAAGCTGTTTTGAAGCGTGATCAGTCACTGTAGCTGCTCCTGTGGGGCTGGGGAGCCTTTGTCCATGCCCTGTGGAGGAGGGATGATGGTGCAGACTTCCCTTCCCAATGGGATTACATGAGAAGGGCAAAACACTGGGTGGGAGATGGAGATCCAGTTCTCCCAGTTTTTTTCTAGACTGTTTCCCACTTTGGGAACAGGGTCCTGTGGAAACCCCACGACGTGGCAGCATACGGGCAACCTGGCAGAGCCGGTGGGGCTCAGACTCCGTGAGGCTTGTGCTTTCTCTGGATGCAGTGTGATGGGGGTGGTGGTCGGGATTCTCCATCTGTGTGATGAATGGTGCCAGCTTTCTGCCCCCACCAGCAACCAGAAATATGAGGCTCCTCTGCCGCGGTGTGTTTACAGCGACCCTGCCCTGGAGACATCTTTTCTGTCCTTTTAGCCTTGGCTTCTGCCTGTGCCTTTTACTGTCCACCCACCGTGTCCCCCAGCACACCCCTTGCCCCCTGCTGCCCTGTAGAGCATGGCTTGCTGCTGGAGCTGTGTGTGAGTGTGGGCAGGACCTGCTGCCTTCACCAGATAGTGCAGGGAAGGATCTGGGCATCCCACAGCCCCCTGCTTCGAGGAGAGGGGCTCTTCCACGCGCGTGGACAAGCCTGGAGGGTCCTGGCTTCACAGCCCACGGTTGTGTCTGTCCCCGGCTGAGTGCTGCAATGGCTTTGCTCTTACTGTGCTGCTGTTCCCCTGCCTGCTTGGGTCACAGCCGGGCTCCTTCCTTGCTGGGGTGGTGGGAGTGGAGACAACATCTCCTGACATCAATGGGAAGCCAAGAGAGAGGGAAGACCTGGCTGTGACTCTAGATGCGAGATGTGAGCTGGCCATGGTGAGGAAGGTGGTCAGGTGCATGAGAGATTCGGCTTTGTGCTCTGAATCAGCACCTTCAGTGGAAGCTACCCTCCGTGCTGAGACCCCCGAGCACCCTCCCTTCCCCTGCAGATCCTCAGGGCTCCCCTGGATGGACATGGAGAGCAAGACAATATCCAAAATTCCAGGAGACTGCACCTGCCAAGGACTTGGGGGAATCCCAGCAAATCGGGACCCGTTTGCCCTACATGAGCATCCTATCTGCCTGCTGCAGAGCGGCCGTGCTTGGCTTCACATCACCTGCAAGCAGCTCATGGCTCCTATGTAGCTCCACTGCTGCTACTGAGCCACCATGTCCCCGAGGCTGCCTGTCCCTCGCTCCCCTGCTAGCCCTGCATGCCATGAATTAGCTGAGGGTCCCGGGGGCAGATGGGATAAATCATCCAGCGCTGTTAAAATCATTCTCGACAAAAAATAGCTGGCTTAATAAATGGTAGCATTTCTCGCAGGCCACGCTGTCCGTGCTTTGCTGAGCTTATGGGGGTTTCTAGGTGAAGGGGAGAGGCTCTGGTCTGACCCCCCTGGAGCCACTCGCAGCTCTGCAGGCAGGACAGGTTTAGTCCCCAGTCCTGGAGCAGGCACAGACCACGTGTCCAGGGATCTGTCACATCAGGGTGGTGACACCTAATAGTCATGTTTCCTGAAGCAGCTGGGTACCTGAGCACATCTTCTGGGGGTGAGGATGCTGGTGAGACTGGATCTCTGGGAGATAGGGCATATTGAGCTCGGCTGATGTGTCTCCAGCTACAGATGGCAACTTTGCCCTTCCTGCCCCAGATTTCCAGGGAAGAGCTTTCTAGGTGTTTGCCAGCCCTGTTAGCCATGCTGGGGGCTCTGTTTGCTTCCCTTGTTCTATCTCCTCCACTCAGGATGTGCGGGGGGGGGGTCTGGGCGTAGGGCCG